GGACACAGTGCTGGGCACCGAGGGAATCAAAGGTGAGTAAGACGTTGTCAGTGCTCTCAGGGAGGTCATAGATAAAAATGTGACGAGAACATTGTGAACCTTCACTTCAGAATATTTGTGACTGAGTTTTCTCTTGGCTTCTCTCCAGTTTCTGCCAGAAGTGGGTTGCCTGAAACTATGTTCTGTATCTTAGCGGTGGCTTGGGGCAAATTGCTTTTACAAAATGTTATTAAGTGAAAAGCAGTCAGGATAACTTGTGCTCCGTATTTTTAAGTCACAGGAAAGTGACAAAAGGTAAGAGTCAAAACTTCTGCAATGACTACCTGAAGCCAAAATAACTATTTGATTTGGTACCAGAAAAGAAAAATCAGTTTGCTCCCAGGCTGGGAGGCTGGAATGGGGTAGGAGTAATAATATCAAGCCACTTGTTACTCATTATGCGGCTTATATAACCCCATCAATTTTTACTGCATCCATGTGTAAGCCATAGTTTTGGTGGTTTTTTTAATGCCAACATTATATGTTTTATTTTTAATCAAGTAAACCTCAAAATAACCATAATTGGCAGAATAAGACATTAGGCATGAGATGATAAAATAAAATCCACGGTCTGCAGCAAGGCAAACAGTGCTTGTAGTCCATCAGGATGACTGTACATGAGTGAAATGCCATTCCGACCATCTACTCCTTTTTTGTCCTTTAAAAACATACAGTTCAAGTGTTTTTTATTTTCACTTGTAAACAACATGAGCCAAAATCGACAATGAGGTCATCTAAATACTACACAGGATAATTTTAAAGCACTAGATAAAACACCATATTAAAGACATATAGAAATCAGTGTTCACTTTGGTCTCTATCACGGTTAAAGTTGTTAATGCCAAGAAGCAACACACACTAATTAAAGCCAGCTGGTGGTGGGTGCCAGTGGTTGGTAGCTGTAATTCAGGAGGTAATCAACACCATCATTTTCAAGTTGGTAACTCTCACACGTGTGAAGCCACAGATGTATTAAATGTCCTGATAGTTTCTCACAGTACAGCACTTTGCCGTAACTTTGCAGCTTTGCTCCAAGTAGACAATTTAACAACCATTCAGAGGTCAACCTCTCACTCTAACTGAACAACTATGACACAGATCACACAACCACCACATCTGAAAGAGGCTGCTGACAGCAATGTAAGACAGAATTGTTTGCTTTTAACAAGTTGTTCTTCCCTAAAACAAATAAACCTCATTAAGACAGCTGGAAAGTTAACGTCACTGCAGCTGCATACTTCCCCAAATTTTATAACCAAAGGGGAAATACACATATATATTTTATGATAAACATTTCTTAGAGAAAATAGTTAAATTAAATTAACTTTAAGACTTAATGAGATCTCCCATGTCCTGTATAATTCATCTTACAGCCAATGTTACAAAGTCTATTAACACTTATGGGCTTCTATTCACAAACTAAATACAACTAGCAGTAACTTGGGGTCACATTGGTGCAAAATAAAACTGGGCCAGAATATGAAAAAAATATCAGCAAAAAAAACACCCTATATTTATTTGTAGATGGACCAGTGCTAATAACATGATGTTTCTTGATCTTTTCCCCTACATTGCATGCCAAACTTCCAAGTTATAAGCAGGTGAAAATCCTTCTAAATCTTTAAATTGTAAAAATACATCCAAAGGCTTCTAGTAAAGACTAGAAATGCAAGTATATCTACTATAATCTGCCATGTAGCAATGAATAGCTCACAGGGCTAAGAGACCGGTAATGCCTCTTTCTTAGGAATTACAATTGTGTTGACATGGGGGGTGAGGTCAAGGGGCAACTAATTCACAGACCCTCTGCCCAGCCCATTAGCAACTCCTGTAAACTGATGCTTCACACAGACCCTACCCCTCAGTAGCTAGAAATGGCATTGCACGTCCACTCTATGTTCACTCCTTGGCAGCCAGTGCTAGTTAATTATGTGCCTGGGCAATAATGCTGCAATATACTTGGCCTCAGGGCAGCACAGACACAAATGAAGGAGATTGGCATCTCTGATACTTTTGCCCAGCAGAAAAACACTCATACAACCAATCTCTCTTCCCAACCTCTTCCCGCTACTGACCGACCTCTGGGCAAAGTAGCTATTTCCAAGATTGCTTGTGTGTTCTGTTTTGCTTCAGTAGAAGAGTCCCTATAAGTCTTTAAACAAAATACATGATAACTTGAAGGAAATGCTGGGAGACGGCTAACTAGATGAGATGCTTCATGATTCACAAGTGTTTGTCAGAAACATGCAGTTGTGAAGTGCTATCTATACTATAGATAACAAGGTCTGTACCAGAGCATTTTCAGCCATTGTAAGGCTGGAGCAGCATAGAGGTGTGCTATGCATCAACTATGAGGTAGCCTTTTGCTGTAAACAGAACAATATTTCACCCATGTAAATGGACACTGTGCTTACGTCAGTGATATTCACATGTGCAAGGAGGTGAGGAAGTCTCCTTTAGAGTCCTTTTCACATGAAATAAAAATAGGAGAACCGATATCTGATATTCAGAAATTTTGATCTATGTCAAACTCAGAGGTTAGTTATTACTAACATCGGTACATAATACTTATATAAGGTCTAAGTTATTTGGTTTGCTTTGAGTAAGCAGGACTGTAGACTATTCTGTAAAGAAACAAAAATACTATATGGTATGTTCCCTGAGCAAAGTTCTTTGTCCTGAGTGTGTTATGTAATAGTGATAATATTCTTGTATAAAAAATAAACCCCAACTTTTAATCATAAGATAGGTTTGGTATGTGCTTAGTTCAGTCTGGTGAGATGCTGAAAAATGATTTCAAGTTGCACCCATAAGGTCCATAGTTATAACATGTTTCTTTCTGTTTTTTTTTAAACCATGATCTCAGCTCTGAACTTTTTATATGTAAACAGGGAATGTCCAATTCTCAAGTCCATAATTTCCTATTTCTAATAAGGTCAAGGAACTTTGGTTTGAATTTTCAAAGTGGCTTACGTTTTGTACTTTTACTGTTAACCTGCTTATTATACCTGCTAAAAATTTAAGCAACACCACTTTGATTTGTCTACGTAATTTAAATAAGCTTACAATCCTCACATAAGGCAAGCAAGTACTTCTTTATCACATTCAATATCATCAAAGGTAAGCTTTGCATCACAGCACACTAATATTTCAGTATGTCCCATGGAGATTCTCACAGACACTGTCAACTCAAGCTGAGTTGACAGTGATATGGCGGCCCAGCCCGAGGCTCGCTCTCCTTCTGTGTGGCTTGCTTGCTGAAACGGCAGCAACCGTACAACAAGCCTCCCTCGGCAGGACAAGTCGGGGAGGGCACAGAAGCTGTTCAGCAGAATGTGTCTCATTTGAATCATGCTATTTTCTGTTTCTGATTATCTGAGCTTACACCAACAGGCTCATACACAACTATATTTATTGCCAATGTTAAGCATCGCCACTAATTGGTACCTTCTTGGAGATGTTTCCGAAAGTGTCCATAACATCAAGAACCAGGATGACACCAGAATGAATGTTTTTCATGACTGAAACCTGAAGGGACCAATACTATGACTGGCCCTCAGCCAGTTTATTAATATAACTGAGGACCAACCTGAGAAGCGTCTCTGTCCCCATCATTGAATGTTCATCCTGAATCTCCCACACAGGTCCCTTCAGTAGCAGTACTGAGGGAATTCCCCTAAGATGAACTGTATTGTATAAAATACTCCTAGCTCTCTGGTAGGAGAGGTTTGGGAACCTCCTGCCCCAGACTCATCACTCTAGTCGCCTGCCATCAAACACGGTGCTTTTTAATATTATTCAAGGTCATATGTAATTGGGCAATTGTGAGCATCCACTTAATTTCCATTCTCAACCCTGGCATTTTACTCACATCTGTGCTGTTTTGTTTGTTTGTTTTAGAAACAAGTTAGGTAACTCTCCAGGGAGAATAAAAACAGCCACCAAAAACATACACCAAACAACTGCAGTTTTCCTCCAAGGTCTTCAGTAGTAAACAAGGAGGCCTCCACTCGAAGTGACGGTTGGAAGGATTGACTCAGTCAAGGGAAGCTGCTGTTGCCACAGTCCCTCAAAAACCTCACAACAGGTGAAAGATCATAACGAGTATCAAAATACCATTGAAAACAATCAAGTCACTACCTTTATACATTGCCCTCCCCTTCATTTCTCTGAATAGTCATCTAATTTACAATCAAAGCATATGAATTAAAATCACTGAAATATCGGCATAGAAATTACACATTCATTGTCTTTTCTGGAGTTATGTATACCAGATTCAAAAAAGCTTATGGCAGTCAGAGGCATATGGAGTTAAGGTACTGCTTTCAAAGGGGGAGGGGTGGAGGACACATTCTACAGATATCAAGAAGAAGAGGCAATCCCAAATTCGGGAGAACTGATGTCTTAAAAACCTTTAGTACCATATGATTGGCAGCTCTGAGATCTGAAGTATCCTTTGGTTCACACAGAAGGTAACAGTCATTTTTTTTTTTCCTAATGCAATATAAAGGGAATGGTATTTCAAGAAAAACTCCAAGGGTTATTTTCAAAACCATCTAAAATGCTTCACCTGAATTTTCAATTCTTGGGGATGTCCAATTCTGCGAGGGAGGGTGTGTGCTTACATCTCTATACACACATATATAAAGACAAACCCTCTTTAGATATATGTCTACATTCTATAGAAAATCCTCCTACACACACACAGACTCAGGCTCTCTCCCTCTCACACGGGCACATACAGATACACAGAGCATCGCATCCTCTGAGTCACGTGACACATGACACCCTGCTCAAAGGTAATTTGCTTGGAGTGATTTGTCTGTTTAAAAAAATTCACTGTTCCTCAACAGGAGTTAAAAATCCCAGGTCAGCTGCTGTTTGTGCAATACTGTTCCCCTGTATTTGCATGAGGTAGACTTCCCAACCGGGGAGAGAAAACGATACGTTAAGAAAAAGGGTCATGTCTTTTTCCGTTTTTGAACGGAAGGCCCCGTTTTGCTTTGATCTTCTGGTGCTGCAGATGACTTTGTGGAGGAAGCTTCTGCAGGTGACGTGCCTGGCCACTCTGAGACCTCGGACCTCGCCTCCTGAGGAAACGTGGTGACGGACAGCCGTAGCCCCCGCCCCCACCACCTCTCGAGGGAACGTCGAAGTGCGTGGCTGGGGCTCTGCTCCCGGTCTTCCCTGAGAACGGGCGGGTGGCTGCACCCAGTTCTGTGAGGGCAGTTCGCCACCATGTGCGTGATGCTCTGACAGCAATGGCACTTCTCTGGCCGAGGAGGAAGACTACATTCCTTAGCATGACTGTAGCATCGGTCTCCTTTTGGTTTTTTTTTTGTAGTGTCTTCCCTTTGGGTCTTCTTTCACTTCCTAAACTGGGGCTCCCACCAGTCCCGTTACTCATATTGATTCAAGGCTTTTGGAAGATTTTTTAAATGTGAATTCCACTGGTTCTCCTTCTTTTAGGCTTCTAAATCCTTCCATGAATAATTTGCTTCGGTGTACAAATACATCAACTAGAATATCCACGGGGCTTCCCTCTCGGTTTCTCATGGAGATGAATCCAAATCCCATTCACACCTTGAACCACTTACAGTGGCCAGTTCCGTGCAAAATCTGGGATTCCTCCTCTGCCTGCTCTGGCAGCTTCCTGGGCTCTTCTCCACCACCTTTGCTTGCCCCGCTTGGGGCTGATGAAACCTGGTTGAATGACCTCATTGTCTTCTGAAGAACATTTAAGAAATTTCCGCAATGAAGACACTAAATACATTCTGTAAGATATTACTCGAAAACACTCAATATTTATCAACACGCAGTTAAAAAAAAAAATTTTGTTTTGGAGTACAAATCCTCGTAAGGCACCCGCATCCGGTGTTCCAGTCAATAGTCAGTTACTGCTCCTGCGAATGTATCGATTCTTCGTTGTTTTCTTTTCAAAAGCAACCTAAGCCCAAGTGCGTTTTTCTCTGTTCTCCTCAAATCCTTAATTCTAATTCATAAGCCATAGTTTCTTATTCTCAATAGACTGAATCTCTGAAACACTTTTCCTGTATTTCATAGACTTCTCATACCTCAGGCCATAGTTCAGAACCATGTCCTCATGACTCCTGACCAAACCAAGTCCATAATTGTCTCACCCCTTTCTGAGCTCCTACAGTAGAATCAGACAACCCACTCACAAACTCTGGTATAGTTGCCCTGTGTGGTTCTCTAGTCAGTCATGGTAACCTTCATGAGAACAGGAATCTCCTGTCTTTATAACTAGCACCTCGCATGTCCCTGAGCAAAAATGGGTTATTAATGCTAATTAAATTTAATTCTACAACAGAGTTTCTAAATTATAAATATATTTATAACTTATAAAGAGTAAGGAGAAAAACCTTAAATCTTCTCAGAAAAATGGTTCCTCCAAATTATACAATAACCCAAGGGGATATGAGGATATACGTATACATATAGCTGATTCACTTTGTTGTACAGCAGAAACTAACACAACATTGTAAAGCAATTATACTTCAATAAAGATAAAAAAAATTATACAATAACCCTAAGAGCAAGGACCTTTGAGTCATGTTTTTTCTCTTAAGCACCCAGCATTATGCCTGACAGTAGAAATTTAAAGAAGTTTATTTTTTGGCCCATGGTTGCACAATATGAAACAATTAAATGCTATTAAATATGAGAAAAAGAGTGTGTATCTAAAATCATTCTATTTTTCAAGGCAAATAGTAATCTGTTTGCTCAACTAAGCAGATATATACCTGAAGAATTACAGGTCAGCATCCACTATACAAGAGCATATAATTAGGATTTGTTTATTTAGTGCATTATTATCTTAAATAGCATCACAATTTTTACACATAACAGACAATAACATACAGAATCAATGAGCCACAGTCTCTAGGATCATAATAAAGAAACTGAAATCTGCTCAAGAGACTGCAGTTTTTATGACTTATGGTAAATTAATATGTCAGTATTTATTCTCAAAATGCAAAAAGAAAGGGTTGGGGTAAGAATGGGCAGGAAGAAGGAATTCTGATTTTGTCAGAAGTCTTTCATATTGATTCGGATTTACCAACAATGTAAGCCAAAGTTATATTTACAGCTACCAATGATTCACTCTTTATTGACTTAACTTGAATATTCTTTTTTATATTGTGATACTGACATTATAAAAACCACAGAACTGTCATTTTAAGTTTGGATTTAAATCTGTCCCAATTTCACAATTATGTTTTTACAAAATCCGTATTTTAAGTGTTTTCATTAATATTTTATTTCTTGGCTTCTATGACAGAATATATCTGTTCTCTAAAAGCTAGAGTATATGCAGTTTGTGTTTCATCAGAAAAATTAAATGTGATAATTTATGTGACTCGATATATTACTACTGTGTTTTAGAACATCAGGAAACCTTTATTTCAAACCTTTTATATCCAGCATCTTTTCTCCTTGAGGGAAAATATAATTTTTTATAAGGATGTTGGTATAATATGAAATACTTTGAGGAGCAGTAGCTCATACTCTAATATCTAAATGTTTGCCCTTTAAGAAAGATTTTGCTTTTCCTTAAGATTTGTCTAAAATGATGATTCTTGCTTGGCCTAATGTCTCCAGATTGAATCCCTGCCCAACTCTACCATTCAGATAGTTCAGCCTGTAGATTTCCCATCCTTCAATGCAATATTAGCCAGAGGTATTGTTTAAACCTGATTCAGATTACGTCACTCCTCTGCTCAAAACACCAGTAACTTCTAATCTCAATCATAATAAAGGCCAAAGTCCTTAGAATGCCCTACCAAGACCACTGCAGTCTTGTTGCTCACAACCCCTTGCTGACCTCAACTCCTACCTCTCTCCCCCAGCACCTTGTTCCTTGAATATACCTCTTCCACTCTCATCTCAGGACCTTTACACTCACCACTGCCTCTACCTGCCTGGAATGCTCTTTGCCCAGATATCTGCAGTTTTCCCTCATTTCCTTCAGGCTTCTGCTCAAATGATATCTTCCCATGAAGGTCTTCCCTGGCTACCATATAAACTAGCAACACTCTCTGCCAGCCCTATATTCTCCTTCACTGCTTTATTTTTCTCCATAGCACTTATTACTAAATGATCCCATAATATATTTATCTATTATTTATTATCTTCCTCCCCCATTAGAACATAAACTCCTCCAAAGCAAGGACTTTTTGTCTATTTTGCTCACTACTGTGACTTCAGTACCTATAGGAATACCTGGACACAGTTGGAACTCGATAAATATTTGTTAGATGAATGAATTCATTGTTGTAAATAGAAACACTTATTAATACTTATGAAACTCCAACCTACAGATGTAGCATGACATTTCTCTCTGAAATCAGTTCCCTACAAATTATATCTACATTAGGTATAACCCATTTATCTGTCATTAAAGAATTAAAGCATTTTAAACACAATAAAAGAGTACAAATGGAGGACGACTTGTCATATGTCTAAACATTTAAGAGTTATTAAACAAGCTAAAAATGTTAATATATAATATACCTTTCTAGCTTGATAATATGCCTTATTAATGACAAATGCTTCAGGCCAAATTTTTCAGCTATTACTTGGAAATAATTGTTTGAAAATTCATTTCTATATCTTTTTGTTCTTGGTTGTGTGTGTGTGTGTGAGAGAGAGAGAGAGAGAGAGAAAGAAGGGGAAAGAGAGAGAGAGGGAGGGAGACAGAGAGGCAGAGAGAGAGACTGTATGTTGCCAAGAACTGAGTCCTCCTCACAGTGAATGTATGAGGTACAGACTTTTTAAATATGTTCTGATAATCTCATCCATGAAAGCAGTAGCCAACATCGTCCTAACAGAACCAAATTTGAGTACCTTTTCATGTTGGCCCAACAGCCCTAGCTATTATTCACTGTGCAAAGAAACTGAACTGGGAAGTGATACCAAAAGTGCTTTCAGTGTAATCCAGCAGCTTTCCATGCTCTTCTGCCAAAATAAAAAATGCAAAATGGTTGAGAGAAACCAATATGTAAGTGAAAAAGAATGGAAGAGGAATTTAATTCACATGAGAGTTATTAGTCCCTTTGGGAAATAACGAAGTGCAGACAACGTGCCCTACTCCCAAAGGACCACATAATCCAGATGCAAAAACAAGATATAAAGATATGAATAATTCACTCAACAATATAATTCCAGGACAACTTATAAATAAGGCATAGCAGAGTGATTAGAGCTGTACTTACGAGTCTTGAAATAAATGTGAAAAGTAGAACTTGCCTCAGCTTTAACAAGGAAGACAATAATAATAATAGCTATCATTATTTTGTATCATTTATTTTGTGCCAGGTATTGTTCTAAGTGCTTTTCATATATGAACACATTTAATTCTAGAAACAATAGTGAGAAAGGTACCATTATTATCCTCAATTTATAGGTCAGGAAAATAAGCCACTTAAAGTTCAAGTCACTTGCCCATGGTGGTAGAGTTTGGATTTGAATTCAAGCAGTGTGGCTCTGGAGTTCAAGCTGTTAACTACTACTCAATGTTGCCTTTGCCCTAAACAATATAAACATAATTAAAATAATAGTGCCTTAGTTGTATAAAGTGATTTATGGTGCACAAAATGTCACTCTATATTCATTCCCTTATTGCAGACTTTTACAACTACTCTGAGAATTACACATAACCATGTTATTCCTGTGTTACAGTTAAGAAGTTTTGAATTTTTAGATAAGCAAAGGCAAGAAAAAATTTTCCACACGTGAGGCAAAATAAAAGATGTATGGGATTAATAAAGTAATGGGGTCTCTGTCCCTGATCTCCTAAGGGCATTATTTGAACAGAGCACAGGCACAGTTCCCAACCACAATCAATAGTTTTCAGAGCTGGTCCCTTATAAACTCTCAACTAGAAAATGCTGTCTCTCAGGTGTCTCACACAGGTGCACACATTTCCCTAAATTTACAAGGGCACTGCCCTGTGAATAGAACTGTTCTTCTTGTTTAACAAAATATTTAAATTCTCAGTCTGAAGGAGGATCCCCCAAAGCACTGTTTATAGTTTATACTTTCAGCCAAAATGTACTTACCTGAAGAAAAGAGAATGTCTGTCCCCAAAATAAATTCTATTGTCTAACCTAGATTAGCTGAGCTGATTGAAGCTTCAATATGGGAATTTTCAAATTGCAGCAGTTATGTGTCATTATTCAATGGCAATAACTAACATTGATGTCATGCTTTCTCTGCGCCAGGCTCTATGCTAAGCATTTTAAATGCATATTCTCCTTTCCGTCAGCAGGACAATGTGAGAAAAGAAACATTAGCTGTTCCTGCTTAGTAGATAAAGAAATCAAGTTTCAGAGAAGTAATTTCCCTGAGGTCACCCACTTAGTAAACATTATGGGCACTGAGACCCAAATCTTTCTGCCCAATAGCCCATGCTATCCTATTATCTGAGGTTGTTTGCTGTACATCATAATGGAAACACTAACCACAGAAGTTACAAATTCAAAAATTAAAAAAAAAACAATAACAATGAGCTCTTCTTGTAGTAACTAGAAAGAGGAAACTTTCTGTGTGGGAGTCACTTCTGCTCCTTATGCAGCTATGTTTAGTTAAACCATGTGAAATGTCCATTTTTTAAGGTCACAAATGGATATAGGTAATGACATATAATTCAACATTAATAGGCGTGGAATAAGGGGGCCTGAGTTCTAGGTCAAAGATTG